GCCCACCTACCTGCTGAATTCAACCAGTACTTACTTTTCCAGTGAGGGAACCAATGAGATCTCTCCTCTGGCCCAGACACTGATTTTCATAAAACTTATGCTCATTTGATACTTTTGAAATAATAATTTTCAATCAGATCTGGCTGGAAAAGATTAATGGTGAGAGGTGTATGGGGGGAGGGAAAGGGGGAAGGGGGCTTATTTGATAGACAGACAAATAGACAATGTGATTGCATCAGTCTCATTTCCTTAGGAAACTAGGCTAAAAATAAAAGGCTTTATTTGCCCCTGGGAATAAAGCAGAAAGCCTCTCACATCTTTACAAAACATTTGTTTCTATGTATACTTATAAATAGTCAGGATGAGAGAGGAAGTTTGAGCTGGATTTTGAGCACAGAATTAAAAGGAAGAGCAGGAGGTGCATGAATTTCAAAACCTGGGATCCTTTCAGGCATGCAACAGCACAGGAATGAATGCAAGGTCTTGTACACTGACACCATATTACCCATGTGTGTACATCACTGGCCTGCAAACCAACTGCCTGTTGGGCAATTTTTCACACCATCACAGAATGAACACTCTTTTTCAGCACCCATGATGGATGATGTACTTCAGACAAAACCCATTGTGCACTCTGAAGTCAGCAGACTCTCTCAGGTGTGAGTAACACAGAAATTGCTACAGTTCATCAGATTTATGGTCTAGAGATTCCTGTCTGCCGGTGACCAAGACTAGCTACTTCAGAGGGAACAGTCCCCAGAAAGGTCTCATCCATCATTAATAGATTGTGTAAGCTGAAGAAGCACTTTTACACCTTCTAAATTTATCGTTTCCTGCATTAACTCTAGATATTTTCTCATCTTTGAGCGTTGTGTGCCTCCTTACGACCTTGGCCTCGGCAATAGTCTGTGGCAGCAAATTCTTTTTATGCATGCAGGAGATAAAGTGCTTTTTGTTTGCAAGACTTGAATTTACTACCTCTCCGTTTCATTGAACTGGCAGCATGTAGACTTGGGCTTTTATAGTCATACTTAACAGACAGGGAACAAGGTAGTTCCACATCCTCTAGAAACTTCTGATTGTTGTGAGACACAAGTGCAAACATGACATCAAAAGAAGAGAATGGTTTGTGCAGGAGAAGCCAAGCGGGACTTTCCTCATGGCGGTTGGCAGAACAGAAGCAGCTGTGTTGTCCGTCTCCTTTGCTTTTGCCCTAGCTTTTAGTTTTTGCTTCAATGGCCTATGCACGGAAGCCCCTTCTTCCTGAGATGTGCTAGAATTTCCATTACAGGGATACTCTGCAGTCCCAACAAATGCTGTGCTGAGAACTGTCACTAGAGGCAGTCCTTGTCCTGAAGAATTTATGTTTGAAATACGAAAAACCAGCACTGTCTGGGAAAAAAGGGATACATGTCCACTGGAAGATAAGAAAAGGATCATACATCTTGCCTGCAGGTATAACTGGGGTTCTTACCAGGAGTTAGCCTCAACTCAGCTTCAGACTCGATCTTACTCCCCTAGGGGATGGGGTTGATCTGTCCTCCCTTAGACGCTAAAAACAAGGTATCTGAGCTCATCATTCTACAGCCCCTCCGACATCAACCATGCAAATTAGAACTTCCAGGACTAGGATACGTTCATTCAACCTACCTTAAGTGAAAAGATAGCAGCCATTTCTTCTGTCTTCAATTACATGCATTTGAGATTTCTGCTCAGACCGTTTTGAAATCCACGCTCTGCTTCACTGCTTTCAGCAGTTACTCATTCCTACCACCATCTATTCAAGATATTTTTCCCCATTTCCAAATTTGTCAGCCAAATGAAGATGGTCTTCATCACTTCTGTCATTAGTTAGAAATCAGAGTCTCTGATATGGGCAGAAATAGAACTTTAATTACATTTTAATCACAAAACATGTGCCCATGCCTGTCATAAATACCTTATTTGTGAAACAGTTTTGGATTCCTTAGGTAGTCTCTGAGAATCGTGCACCTTTATTTCAGCCTAGCTTGCATGCTGGGAACTACTGCTAAGTCAAAAAGCATCTTCAAAATCACTTACATACTCATAGAAATTTCGCTTCTGAACTCACTTGCATCATGATCCTGAAAGAAAAGCACAGAGATTGGGAAAACATCTGAACAAAATGGCAACCTAAGCAGCTGCTTTGGTTCTTTTTTAAAGCTCAATAGCAAACCCCCTGTCTAATGAACTGCAATAAAGTCTGAGTCATGACTTGTCAGATGATCCTCTTAGTTGATGTGGTTACAAACCAACAGCTGCACATCGGGAAAGCAAGCAAACTGAAGACCTTACAAAAGTGTAAGTCTTCCTTGTTTCCCTGGTCCTTGGCATTTGTTTCTTCTTCTCTGTGTTACCTTATGTTCAGCCAGCCCATAGGGCAGAAACTGTATTCCTTAATATCTTGACAGTGTCATGCACATTTATGTTGCTGCACAGATAACTGCAGTGTAAAGAGTATAAGTGATGCTGTGAAAAGCCAGAGGGGTAAGGCTAATACCTGATGTGTGACTTGTATTCATTTGTTACAAACACTGCCTGAAAAACACATGCCACAGAACTGTAGAAAGAATGTCTTTACTTATAACACAAGGAAAATCTATGGCTGGTGCAGCCTGGCAACCCTGCTGTCAGTTTTATGTCCAAGTTGCCACACACAGAGGCTATTGGCTGCTGCACAGCTTGATCATTGGCTTCTCAGAAACCTCTCCTGAAAACAAAATTCCCCATAGGATGTAGTTACAGAATTACTCATCTAAAGGGAACCTGCTGTCTTACGCTTTCCTGGTGTCGTTTTTGTGTTTCTTAGTCCACCCACTTAGCCTGAGATAGGGTGTCTCTTAACTCAGCTATCTCCTATTTAGAGGGCATCCTTGTGCAGTTTACTTTGCTATGGAGCTAATGAGTTGCATTCTCTGTCTTGGATGTTGATCATTAATACCTTTGTTGTGACCAGAGCAGATAAGCAAAGCTGTGTCTGGATAGAGTGATTTTGTGTTTTTCCCTTTTATTTCCTTGTACCAAGGATTATGTCTTGCTTAAGACACTGAGAGTGATGTACTTCTAATGCAGCCGATTGCAACAAACAGATTGCAGGTGGGGGGGGGGCCCCCCCCCAAGATGTTCAGTAGATAGAGATTGTAGAACTTTTTTTTTAATAGAGAGATATTGTGTTGCATTTAAATCACATTAAATATACACACTGTTAAAAGGCTATTGTAATGTTCAAATGTCAGTTTTAAACGAAAATCAATATCATGCTATTAGGCTCATTATATTGCTGTTATGCATCATTAAAATGCATTTAAAAGCTCTCAGCATAAAATAGGAGACAGGATGAATAACAAGACACTGAGAATATGCAGCACACTTAGAAGGCAATAAAGAGTCAGGCACAAGAGAAACTTTGTAAGCACTTGGAAAGAAAGCACTGCTAACATAGGAACACGAGAAAATGAATGACGCAGAGCTCAGGATGCAGACAAATACACGGAGCTGCACCACTGCTGGAGGAAAACAAAATCATCAAATATTTTTAATACTTTTACAAATGGGTCTTTGCAATCTGAGGTTCTCTCTTTGCCTGGTCTCTATATAGCACTCTACCACAATGCTCAATGATGCCAGTAAAAGTACTACTGACATTTTGTCTTCTTTCACAAAAGGATTGTATTAGGTCCTAAAAGCACATTTACAAATTAGCTTTTCTAAGCATCTTTCCAGTCAAATGTCATATGGAAAATTGTCACATCATCAGATACTCTAAACCTACTTCTTCCCTATCTGAAATAGATTTCTAATGAGAAATTTTTGGTTTAATATTTAAATATGAGTGTGTCTGTTTACACATGAATAAGTGCGAACATATACAATTATATACATATGCGAGAAAGAGAACTTCCTTACTCAGTTTCTGAAATTTTCTTTCTAAAGGGAAATAATGGGAAGATGTGACCCTCTAATGACTAGGAGTTTAAATGGGCAAGAGAGAGAACAGATTTCCAGCCCCTACACACATTTATTTTTATGCTTTTGTACCTGATTGCCACTGAGTATATTTGCCTTTCCCCTTGAGCAGCACTAGAGCACCATCCTGCATCTCAGCAAGCACACTCTCACTAAAACTACAAACTGCTTTTTCTCTCTTTCCCTTGTGGTGAATCTTTGATTCCTATAAGCAAAGCAAAGTAACTTCAGCCAGAGGAAGTAACACTCTGTGTGGCTCCTAATAGCCACAGCCTGGGCTGAAGTTTAAAACCATGTGGGCAGATTAAAAAAAAGAACCTGAATCTCCTACTTCCTGGACAAGAGCCCTCTAATCAGCTCTGAATTATTGAATACTCTTTCAGAAGATGGATTTCAAATTTGTAGTTTAAGCATAAATCCTTCCTTTATCTGCAGAGGTAAAGATTCAACTGAAATTGATTTTGGATGTAAACAGAAGCATAAAGCATAAATAGAGTTATTGAGCCAGGGAACAGAAATAGTCCTATTTGAGTTAGATGTGTAATTGCATGGCTAAAATTAAATATGCTGAGTGCTCAAATTAAAGTTCACAATGAAGAGTTCCCAAGTGATGTACATACTGAATGATCTCACACAAAACATTTTAGAATTAGGTGGGTTAAAAAAACCCCCAAACCCTGTCTGATTAAACAGCAAGAAAAAAAAAAGAACAAATAAAAACATCATTTTGCTTCAAATAATTTTTTGAGTAAACAAATGCTTCTGAATTATCAGCAGGGTCTATGGGAAGATACATACACAAATACCCATATTATATGCTGCTTTTATGTACCAAAATGACCCCTGCTGTGGATTTTCATCGCTGATTTTAACTGGGACCAAAATGCAATCTCTTCTCAAGTGTGTAACCCTAAAGAAAGCAAATGAGTTGACTAACATTAATTCACACATGTGAGCATCCGCCCGTTGAAAACTGGCTTAAAATGCAGAGGTATCACTAAAATTCACAGTAGTTAAATAATTCAGCAACAAACATGTTTATTTCCAAGCCACCCACTATCCATCACTTGTTAACCTACCCATGTGATGATGTTTTTGGTGTTTGCTAAGTGCTCTTCCAGCTGTATCCAAGAGCCCCTGGCATCTTTGAGGTCTGACTAACAAGTGAAGATGTATTCTCAGTTACTCAGGAAGGCTTTCAGGCACTGTTAGCATGCCAGTATTGTTGACTGCTCCAGGAATAACAAAATCTTTTATGCACTGGTGGTCCTATCTTGTGTTTTGAACTGAAAAGATGAACTGGGAAGGAAAACATGCAATGCTCACTAGAAAGATACACATGAAGAGATGCATACACATTGTACCTACTCCTTCTTCTTTCTGATATGCTGCTGTTTAAAATACACTGTAGACTGTCAGTTAAATTATTATAGAAAGAATTTGTGTATGAGAAGGAATTCTCATGAGAATAAACAGAACAATCTGGAATTGCTTTAATCTACCTTTTGACTTTAAGGTGTGATTTAATTCTTTCCCACTGTGTTCTTCACAAATGAATTGTGGGATGAAAGATAGGCTGGCGAGAGTTGTTCCCAAGTATTCAGCCTTTTGGTAGATGAAACCCTTCTTGCTGCAGAGCAAGTCAATTTAATACATCTTCTTTTCCACTTTTTCTTTCTCCTTCCAAATGCTGTCTTTTCCTATTGATCCTTCACTGGTAGGCTTTTTTTCTTACTGCCCACAATGCAGTTTGTGCTTCTTGGCTGTCATCTAAAATGCAACAGCAAACAATAATATAATCCATTTTAATATAGCAAGAAGGAAAAACAACTTTTACAGTTAAATTACTTCGCCTTTCCTTTAGCTCAGGAAATCAAATCAAATAAAACTGAACATGCTCCTTTCGTTATGGACCTAGTTTTCCACTAATAATAACCATTTATCAGAGGCTGGTATTCATTTAAATACTAAAACAATTGCATCTAATAGTCAAATCATTTGTAAAGGTTTATTTGTATTTGCAAAGTGTTACCAGATTGTCTGTGTCACTTTTAGTCTGGAATATCTGCATCTCTATTAGCATTCATGAGCCAACAGGACAGAGTTAGATAAGAAGACTGATAAGCATAGCCCAAATCCCTTTATTTCTGTTTAGGAACACAAAGCATGATTTTTACTGAGGTTCTTACTCAAATACAAACATAAAGAATGATGGGTATATTTCATGGTTTTATTGACCATTTAATAGCTATTCTATGAGCCATCTAAAAGAAATGGAATACGCTCAGCCTGCTCCCAGAGGAGCAGTTCTGCAAAGGCAGAAGACCAAACTCTTCCTTTTACACCATGAGACTGTGCAGCAGTGATGTATCTCCTGTGGAATTCAATCCCCCCCAACCCACTGAGGTAGCTGGGGGCCCAGCCTTCCCCCTCAAGCACAATGAGATCCATTTCAGAAATCAAATCTGGCTGAGAACTCATTTTATTTGAGTGTGCACTAGTATCACATACTCTCACTTCTTTATCACACAAAACGTAAGTTTTGAGCCCAGGAGTATCCGAGGCACACACGTGCCCACAAAATACAGCACCTTGTGCAGTTACAAAACCATTGTTTTACAGCACATTTACTACACTTGCTGCCCCAAGAGTATTTTACCCTTTTTCTTAGATTAAGATTTTTGCTACCCTGAAATATCAATGTTTTAAAATCTTTGTGATTTCAAAATTCCCTTTGTCAACTGACCCTTGTGCCCATGCCACTGGTATGAAGTATTCCATCATCTAAACTGCTAGCTTTCCTGTTCTCACCAGAAACCTTTTACTTTGGGTAGAATAATTCCAGATGGCTGCATTAGCCATGTATGAGTCACATATTTATTTTTTTGCCATCTCAGTCATGGGGGAAACTTTTTATTGCTCTGAAGTCCATTTCTGCAATTCTGCATTCATTATTCCAGTAAGTGCAATATCCAAAGGTGGCTTGCATTTCCAAAATTTATAGGAAAATAAGAGGCAGCCTTCTTTTTCTGAACATGGTCATTCTTTTTGTTCTGCTATCTTCAGCAGAGTTTGTTATCAGGAGCAGGCTGTACAAAAAAGACCACCTGGACAGAAGCATCACAGGCCTATTTGACTGTGGGTTAGTACCCAGCAAAACAACCTCAATTTAAGGCACAATTTTAGGCGTGATCTTTGCCAACCATGAACTTCATCCCCAAAATCAACAAATATGACTTTTGCAAGCACATCACAAACAGAAAATCTGCTGGTCAGTCCGAGGTCAACAGATAAGCACAACACACAAAATCCTCAGGGAAGGATTAGGAAGAAAGTTAAATTAATTCTTTGCATCTCTACACGGGATCTTGGAGACATTCCCAGACAAGAACTTCTACTGACAGGGTACAAGTGAGAAAAACTGCCTCAGAGTGAAGTGTTAGTAAGTGATGTGAAAGGAAATGTGTAAAATGAGTCACTACTCATCACTAGGATCAGATGAGATTCATCCAAGAGATTTGTACCAGCTGAAGGATGAAGATGCTAAACTATGAACTGTGATGCTCACAAAAACAGTCTCAATACCAAAGAAATAAGGGTGGCAAGTCTGATACCAACCTTTAAAAATGCTGTGGAGATAATCCAACAAACTATAAACCACCAAGTCCAATTTCTGTACTGAGAAAATTGCATGAAACTATTGCAATGACCAGAGCTTGCAAGCACAAAGGCGAGACTGTGGACTAAAACCTCTGTGTGTGCGTAAAGGGATGGATGATGCACTCTTCTCAGGTACATCCTGTTTCCTGGTGAGAAAAAAAACATTCAGGACTGTAAGAACTCAAACTGGCAGGTAGGTGCTGCACAGGATTTTCAGAGTATTGTAACACTCAATTGATACCAAATATTTGACAAACGCAAAGTACAACACTGCAATGAGGGTGGGTAGAAAAGGAAGAAATCCTCCCTTTTTGTAGTGGTGGGTGCTATTTATCTATTCCTGATGAGGAAGTTGTGGAGGACAGTTCTATAGTGTCAGCTTCGTGGCTCAAAAGAGCAAACATGAAAAAAGGAGAAGAGAAATAACCAGGACTTGTGCCAAAAAGAGGTGTATGAATCTGTGGGACACTTGCAGCTTGAACATCAGATGCTAATTTGGTCCCCGTTCTCAAAAAGTGTACAGCAGAAGTAGAAAAGGGCAACAAGGATAGCCAGAGAAAAGGACGTGTCCTTAGAGAGGGACAACCAAGGTAAGACATGATAAGAGATGCACAGAATTATGAGCAATGAACAGCATTAGAACAAGCACCGGTTTACACAGCATAGTTCTTAAACTGCAGAAATCATTGCCACAGGGTTTATGCACAACAATATTAAAAATGGGCTCACTGAGCACTTGAGATGAGTTCAAGGAAGAAAATTTCCGTGGGGCCTGGAACCATGGCGATGAGCATTCAACCTTCGACTTGGGAAGTACCTGAACAGCAGATGGCCAGAAGCCAAGTGCACACATGGAAAAGCAGTAGGGCTAAGTAGAAAGGCAAAGGTCTCCTGGCCTGGGTGACTCTGGAGGGGTGCTGGGACTAAAACAAGCATTCAGCAGCAAAAGCGCCTGCTGTCAGGACTTGCCAGGGCCTTCTCCAGCACACACCACGGAAAGCTCTCCCTCTGCTCTGTGCCCTCGACACTCCTTCAGGCTACACCTGATACACCTCCAAGTTGCCATCCCCAGATGTACCCCCCCACATGGCAGCCAAGCTGGTGAAACAGACCACTGCACTCAGGGGGATGCTCTCTCAGCCACACACTGCTCCTGCAGCTCGCTGTCCTTCCACTCTGTCGAAAGCACCACGAGTGAAGTGGGCAGCTCTCAACTGGACTGGATCACTGAAGAAACAGATGGACATCGTCCTCTGGGACAGCCAGTTGTTCGTCCAGGCAGAAACAGCCAGAGCACCCTTCCCTCTTAACATGAACTCTCCCAGGACACAACTTCTCACAGTGTCTAGAACATTTCTCCACTCCTATTTGGGGTGATGGCAGGGGAAGTGGGGGGTGTGGAGGCTTCCCTTAGAATCGTAGAATGGTTTGGATTGGAAAGAACCTTAGTTACCATCTCGTTCCAACTCCCCTACCATGGGCAGGGACACCTTCCACTACAGCAGGCTGCTCCAAGCTCCGTCCAGCCTGCCCTTGAACACTGCCATGGACGGGGCAGCCACAGCTTCTCTCAGCACCCTGTACCAGTGTCCCACCACCCTCACAGTAAAGAACTTCTCTTTTTCCAGAAAGCAGTGGGATGATCTCGCAGCGAGATGCACTCAACCACGTCCCCATTCACGCCGCTAAACGAAACAGCAACGAGGAGGCAAAGGCTGCACCCAAGCCAGGAGTCGCGAGGGGCAAGGGTGCCGGGCCCGGAGGCGGGCTCTGCTCCAGCCCCTCACAGTCCCCCGGGAGGAAACCTCTTGTTCCCAGCTCTACACAAGACTGCCACCCCCAGTTGTCCTGCTGGAGACCACCGGGCCCCCTCGGCGAGGAGCAGGGCTGCAGCCCCCACGCCGCTGCCAGAGCCCCACTCCGCCGAACCGGGCCACAGGACCCTAGCCGGGCTCGCCGCCGCACTCCCCCTACCGGCCCCAACAGCCGCTGCACCCCTACCCGGCTCCGCAGGACCCGCGGGCGCGGCAGCCAATCCCGCATACCGGCTCCGCCCCCGGCGGGAGGCTAGGACCAATCGCGTTCAGGAGAGGCGGGCCCGCGAGCGCGGCCAATCGCGTGCGCGCCTCGTCGTCGCCCCGGCTGCCGGGCCGGAACCCTTGGTCGGTCCCGTCGTCTTACGGCCGCGCCGTAAAGCGAGCCCGGCACGACAGCGCGCTGGTGGCGTTAGGGAGGCGGGGAGCGGTGGGGCCCTGCCGGAGCGGGCGGATGCCCGGTGGCGGGGGCAGCCCGGCGCCCGGCACTCACGGCGGAGCGGAGGCCGGCGAAGCAGGCGGCGCGGCGGGCGGCGGCCCGGCTGGCGGCAGGATGAGCCTGTCGCCGAAGGAGCTGTCGAGCCTGCTGAGCATCGTGTCGGAGGAGGCGGGCGGCAGCACCTTCGAGGGCCTCTCCAGCGCCTTCCACCACTACTTCGGCAAGGCCGAGCACTTCCGCCTGGGGTCCGTCCTCGTCCTCCTGCTGCAGCAGCCCGACCTGCTGCCCAGCCCCGCGCAGCGCCTCACCGCCCTCTACCTCCTCTGGGAGATGTACCGCACCGAGCCCCTCGCCGCCAACCCGTTCGCCGCCGTCTTCGCTCACCTCCTTAACCCCGCACCCGAGCGCGGCGGTGACGAGGCGGAGCGCACCCCGCTCTCAGGTGCGTCCCGGGGCCGAAGGAAAGAGGGAGGGGGGAGAGCGGCACCGCTCGGTGTCGTGGCTTGCTTATGGCAGCCCCATCCCGGCTTCTCGCCCGTCGGTCGCTCTCCGGGTTTGGAAGACGCGGTGGGAATTCTACATGGCAAGCGTCTCTGCGTTCGGTGTCGGATAGGCCGCTTGGTTGAGCCAGAACGCCGTTTCTCCGCTGGGGAAAAAGCTGTTACAAAACCCTGGACCTAATAAGAGGCTTTTGGCGGCTTTAAAACTGTGAAAGAAATCTCTTAAAGAAATGCATGAGGGTATTTTTCTTACTTTAGTAAACACCAGAGCGATAGCGATGGGTAAATCAGTTTCTAAGACAAATTGCTTTTATAAATTGCCTTGTGATATTTGGTGATAATAGCGCACCAGTTGTCTGGATTGGGCAGTTGTGTAACGAAACCATTGTGGCTGCCTTAGCATCACATGGTGTGTGTTGAGATGCACAGCAGCAGTCATAGAATCATTTGGAAGAGACCTTAAAGATCATTTAGTTTACAATCATAGAATGGTTTGGGTTGGAAAGAACCTTAAGATCACCCAGTTCCAACCCCCTGCCATGGGCAGGGACACCTCACACTAGACCAGGTTGCTCAAAGCCCTGTCCAGCCTGGCCTTGAACACTGCCAGGGATGGGGCACCCACAGCTTTTCAGCACCCTGTACCAGTGCCCCACCACCCTCAGAGTAAAGAATTTCATCCTAATATCTAATCTAAATTTCCCCTCTTTGAGTTTAAAGCTAGTTTCCTTTCACTGCCTGCTGTTGTCAAAAGCATCTCTCCAGCTTTCTCGTAGACCTTGTTCAGGTATCCATCAGTATATCGCTCTATTTTACATCACTGTAGGAGCCGAGTAGATCATAAGTTTTGTATGTGCTCACAAAGACTCATCAGGTGTACTGATCATGTCATAAATAACACAGTAGTTTGTGTTTTAGTTATGCTTGTTCTGCCTGAAGCATATTGAAGCTATTAATGCTACTGCCTCAAAAATCAGGGTTTGTTTTTCATTGTGTCTCCACAGGCTTCTTACCTCCTATAACTCCTCCAGAAAAATTCTTTCTTTCTCAGCTGATGTTGGCCCCCCCTAGAGAACTGTTTAAGAAGACCCCTCGGCAGATTGCTTCAATGGATGTGGGGAACATGGCCCAGTCAGTGGATATAAGTGGGCTTCAGCTGGCATTAGCAGGTAAGGAAGATTTGCAGCTGTGCTTCACTTGTGAATGGAAATGCCACTTGTCATGTGGCTGTGAGTTACCTGAGAAACACTCCTTTCTATCCTTAATATGAAAAAGGCTCAACTGTGCTTTAGGGTCTTCAAGCCTGTGTTCAAAAACATAGAGAAACTTCAAGTAGAGATCATGTCTTAACTGTTTTATCCTAGTTATCAAGCATCTTTTTAACATGTATGTCACTGCCTTAAACATGAGAACGTTTTGCAAGTATAGGAAGCCTTTCATCTAACGTTTTGTGGGTGGGGGTTTTGTGTGGCTTTTCATTTTTATCCCTTTTCATTCTGCAGTATTTCTAGTATGAGAGAACAAGCATAACTGTCATGCTGTCATGTACCAGTACTTCAACTGTACCTGCAAATTGGCTATTACATCTCAGTTTTATACAACAGAGTCAGATCTTACAGCATTAGCTTTAGAGTGGAAAGGTGGTCCACTCCACTGGAAACCAATGTGATGCTTATCCACTGACAGGAGAAAAGCAGCAGAAATGTGATTGCTGTGATCACGTTAACTGGTGGGCCACACCTGGAGTTAAAACTGAACTAAAAATACTGTTTGGAACAAGGAGCCAGTTTGAACACCAGAAATAGTGGGGGGTTTTCCTAAGTACGTGCAAATGGACTTTCTTGCTTGAAAACTGACCATCCTACTTCTGTACTTGTATGATGTGGTTTAGTACTCTGAGGTCAAGCACTAACTAGGCTTTCTCTGTCCTGCAGGTATATCTTAGTATTGTCATTTTTTCTGTAGAACCTGACATTGACTTGTAGTGCCATGGTGTAAAAATGTGTACATATGTCTCCTGGTGTCCCCCTTACTGTTTCCAGACTGGGGGATCTTTTGAAGAGTTAGATTGAATAACTTATCTTCACAGGCGAGACAAACCCTTCTGGTTTCTCTCCTGTTCATCCTGTTTATGGTTTATGGAATGCTTTAGTGAATTTAGATTTTGTGAAACTTGCATAACTTGTCATTTTTATCATAAGGAATATGTGATGCCTTACAGAAGCCTGGAGGTTTTTCTGTTACTCATGTTCCCTTTGGTGCTGTGTTTGCCTTCTGAACAGTTTGTTCTCATCAAAAATGAAACATGTAAAGAACCTCAAAACTGTAGTTGTATGGATGGGTACTCCAGGCCACACATTTTGATTTGTCCTTTTTTAAAATGAAAGATACTAATGCCATAAAATACAGTACAAAACCATTAATGGTGCTTTGCAAAATTAAGCCCTGTAAGATATGCTTGTATTATTACTTATATAATCCGTTAAACACGCACCATTAATTGCTTACGAGCAGTTGCAGGAGTTATGTAACAAAACACTTGGTGGCCCTTCAAAACTGTGGTCCCTGTGACAAATTCAGGTCTGTGTAGAACAGGGTGATTCTAGAATATACATGCAAAATCAACCACAATAATTTATAAAGCATTATTTATTTATTTTTCAATCAGTATCCTTTTTTTGTAAAGGGAGGAAGAAAGTACTTGGCTTTCTTCTGAACTTGAACTCATTGAGACAATTCATTTGCAGCTGTATGTTGTTTTTTTTCTCTAGTTTTGGTTTTCTTTTTCATTTGTAGGATCGTGTGGTGTTGGCCCCCCCTCAAAAAAAAAAAGTAGCATGTTGGAATAGAGCATCTTAGGAATGAGTATTGAAACTTGCTTTCTTCTCTTCTCCCTTCGGTCTACAGAAAGTTCATTCAAACCTTAGTCTATCCCCGTAACTTGTTTTTATTGATCCAGTGTGTTACCATATCAAAGATACCATTTTGTCCTAATTTCAGGGATGGGTCTTCTGGTGAAGTGCTCCTGTTTGTCTGCTAACCCTAATTTGATCTAAGAGTAATTGACCTGTAGTAAAGTTAAGTTTATAATACATTAAGAATCCAAGAAAGTTGTTTGCTGGGGGTTTTTTTCTATATGTAAACAAAAAACAACAAAAAAAAAAACCCCCCAAAAAAACAAAAAAAAAAAAACAAACAAAAAAAACCCCAAGAAAAATAGCTCCTTATGGAACTTAATAGTTCCTTATGGGAACTTAAGTGATAGTTTCCATTTTTTTTACACTTAAATGACTTAGTTCAAGATGCTGTATTCTTTCCTGTTAAAATACCACATTCTAAATCTTGCTTCTGCTTACTTGAATTTTTGATCCAGCCCTAATTCTTGAAGTGGTGAAGGAGTTTTTCAACTTCAGTGCATATAACTAAGGGCTCTTGCAGGCTTCTAAAATTGGTGAAGGACTGTATCTTAAACTTCTATATTTCTTATTAAGAATCATTAATCACTTAAGCTTATGAGAATACAAACAAATCAGTGACCAGCGGATGGATTTAAGTTCTAGACTATAAATGAAAAGACAGAAAAAAGACATCTAATATTTCCCCCTGCACCTTCCCCGTGGAACTTCATGTGTTAAATCAACTCTTCTGTTCAGTAGCTAAATGAGGGTACTTACAAGATGGAGCTTGAAACACTTTATAAAGTAGAAAACGTTTTATAAAACGGCTCATTTGGACTTTGACTTTAAAATCTTTTTTTTTTTTCAGCAGCAAAGGATGTTAGTTGTTGAGTTTAAAAGAAAGCCATATCCTGTTGTGCTGCTTCAGTGAGCATGTTTGCATGATCTGAAATTGTTGTATAAAGTTGGACAGAAAGGCAAAAAAGAAATTGGCAGTGTTGGTGTTTTGTTTTGACGATCACAGTTTCAGCGTCTCGTGGCTTTGGTGGGAGTCATATGAAATAGCTCATGTGCATGAGAAGCTGGGAAGGGTCAGTATGCTTGCATGAAAAGAAGCAAGCACACTTTGCTTAGAAGAGATAGGGACAGAGAAGCTTTTTTGCGGAAACAATGGAAAACGTGAGCTCTCAAAATAGTACAGAGAAGGTCAGCCATTAATTCTTCAGATACAGAAGAGTGATAGATTGCAACAGAACACCACCTAAATATCCGACAATGCAAGTATTGAGCCCCTTAGTTTCTTTTTGGCCAGTTTCTTCAAGTCCTTAGCTGTATATGCTAAGCTAATATTATTTTAACTTTTTTATGTTCTGTAATTTGGCCTTTAAAAGGACACTTTCAGCTCCTCCCAGCTTTGCTTTAAAGATAATATATGTAGAATCGCATAACAATTCAGTTTTTCCCACACAGGCACTTACTGTAGCTTGACAGTGAATGCAAAAGTATCTTACACAATGCCACTGAAACACATTGGATAAATATGACTAGCTGACTTCAGGTCTGGTATGACCAGTATCATTGAAGAGTCTGTAAATGTATCTGTGTAGATACTTCTATTCCCTGCCTTGAGAAGTGATTGCAAAACTGGACATAGCATGTGAACCTACTAATGTGCTTTTAGATGCAGGTTACATCAGTTAGTTACCTTTTCTAAAGCCAAGACTATGTTTCAGATTGATTTCTTCTTTACCCTTGCTGCATATCACTGTCCTTTGTCTGTCAGCTGGCACTCTGAGTACTAGCTGCCTGACACAGTACTAAATTTCTTGTTGATCTTGTCTGTGGTTTTTTTTGTTTAAGCTAGCTGTTTGTTTCTCACTACTCTTAGTATTCCAGGCATTTCTGTTTCAATTTTATGCTTTAATATTAAGGATGGCCCTTCTTTCAGAACGTCAGTCTGAGCTGCCAACACAGAGCAAAGCCAGCTTTCCCAGCATCCTCAGCGATCCTGACCCAGATTCTTCCAACTCCGGTTTTGACAGCTCCATTGCCTCCCAGATCACAGAAGCCTTAGTGAGTGGACCAAAACCTCCTATAGAAAGTATGTGAATTTTCACGCCTTTGGTTCTGTAAGCCATAGAATCATAGAATAGTTAAGGTTGGAAAGGACCTTAAGATAATCTAGTTACAACCCCCTTTCCATGGGCAGGGAGGCCTTGTACTAGACCATGTTGCCCAAGACTCTGTCCACCCTGGCCTTGAACACTGCCAGGGATGGAGCATTCGTGACATCCTTGGGCAACCTATTCCAGTGCCTCACCACCTTCACAGGAAAGAACTTTCTTCCTTATATCCAACCTGAACTTCCCCTGTTTCAGTTGAAACCCGTTAC